TATCCAATTGCAGGAGGGGTCCGGAAGGAGGGAAATCTTGCTATAGCAGGTCAAACATAGGTACCAATTAGGGTAACTGGGTTAGTTTTAACTTGTAATTTAGATAACATTAGGTTTAATGCTATGGCGCTTGTCGTTTAGAGATAGTTCTCATATGCTATTTGCCGACAAGTTAAGAGTTTATCACTTACCTTCTGAAATGCAACCTAGTATAAAATTTTAGCAGTCTAGAAGATGTGTACAAAGCCTAATAAAGTTAAAGCATGACTGCCGAATTTTTTAAAAAAAAAAAAAATAAATAAAATAAAATACTAAGCTTATTCTTTTATTTAATAATAAAAGGAATTGTAAATCAAAGAGTTATTTATAAAGCTATTTAATAATAATCTAAATATTGGTTACAAAAAAAGGTGCTTCCAAATTGACCAAAAATAAATTATTTAATAGCCACTTGGTGCTTTTATCTTTTACTAGATGCTCTTGATTAGCTAATTTATTTATATTACAATCAAAGTTCAATAGATTATATGAATCTTCATATTCATCCAAATTATTATTATTTGAGTTATCATTATCTGATATTGGCAGCCATGATGTTATTGCATCTTTCTCATTATTATCAATATCTTCAATTTCTGAATCGTCAAATTCAGTATTGGTATCTTGAAAAAGTACTTGATATACTTTTAGAATTGTCTAATAAAAAGATTATTGAAGTTGATTTATAGAGCCTTTTAAGCTCATCCAATTCTTGAATTTGATGATTTTGAGTAAGTATTCCATGTAATTGGCTAATTGCTAATCTAATTATACTATATGTCAATCGTAATCATCCTTTCTGCTTTTTGATTGGATATACTTTTGTCACATGCAGACGTATTATGTACATATATATCTGATATGGTTTGTAGTATCTTTAAGAAATACATCATAAGTTCACCCAGAATTATGATTTCCTAAAATTAGATTTTTATTCATATACTTGGTTAGTAATTTTAGTGCAAATTTGGATGCCCTTTCACATGCATCGTATAACTACATGCTTAATCAGGTTTTGGGAATATTGGATGTACAGTATATATATTATATATGTTGAGAAGGGCGTGACTAACGATTTTGGGCTAAACTAACTAATTCAACTAAGCTAACTAACAACTAATTCGCTCTTTTGGCTTCAAGACACCTAAAACCTTAAGGTGGAAGGCTTCGAAAGAGGTGTGGAAAGATTTGGTCCGGGTTTTAAAGTCCTTCGGGTCTTGAATTGTTATATCTGGCCTTATGGTGATATCTCCTAGATTTAGATAAGTCTCCTTATTTGGTTCTACAATCTTTCTTTATTATACCCAGGATTATTATTAGTAACAAGGCTTTATTCTCTTTCTATTCGAAGTATTGTCCTTGGAGTCACGTGTGATGAAATCACAATTTCGGGCGGCAATCGGTGATTTAATTTAATCTACGATAGTCATGGGTATTAAATATCGGGATCAGATTTTTGATTCTGCCAACCTATGTAATTATACCACAAAAAATTTTCCGGTCACATGACTTTATCGTGGCGCAAACCAATTGAATTTCAGG